GAAAAAGTATGTAAATTTTAGTCATTCTATATTTAAATAATTGGACTGGTAAGTGGTTAAAGATAATCCAGAGGGTTAGGATGTATCTTAGGGGTAGAACACTTGCCAAGCTTGTATAGGATCCTAGATTTGATTTCTGCTACCAGCACTACCAAAAGCCAAACCAAAAATGGAGTGGGTGTGGTTGGTGGCACACACCTGTAATCCCTGCATTTGAGAGGCTGAGGCACGAGGATCGTTGTGATTTCAAGACGGACCTGGGCTATAAAGTCAGCTCAAGGCCCAGACTGAACTGCATTGTGAGACCTTGTCTCAAAGAGCCAAAAAAAGCTGAAGAAAGTGGCACATGCCTGTACTCTCAGCACATACCCAGCTGATTTTTTTCCTTTTTTTTTTTTTTTTTTGTGGTACCAGGGATCAAACTCAGGACCTTACACTTGCAAGGCAGGCACTTATGCCACTGAGCTACCTTCCTGGACCCCAGCTAATTTTTTAGAATGAATTTTTTTTTTTTTTTTAATTTTAGGGAAGTTTACAGGGTGCTCAGGGTCTCAATGCTTGATCTGACTCATAGTGATCTGCAGGTTAAAGCCTCCCAAGAGCTGGGATTACAGGTGCACACCACCATGCCCAGTCTCAACTGCTGTCTCAGTGCAGGGCCCCTCCCCACAGGGGGTGGGGGGAGAATCAAATCCCTGATTCCTATGCCTGCTTACAGGTGCTTTAATCCACTGAGCTATTTGGCCAGCCCAAAATTTTTCTTGTAAATATTAGTTTCAATTAAAATGGTAAGGGGCTGGAGAGATGGCTCAGTGGTCTAAAGCACCTACTTAGAACAAGCTTAGCAAAGCATCAGGGACCACAGTTCAATCCCCCAGCACCACATGCCAGCCAGCCCCGCCCCCCTGGTGGGCTAAACTGGCCACACACATACACTCACTCTCTTTCTCTCTCAAATAAATAAAAATTTAAAAAAAGAAAAAAAATTAAAAATAAATAAAAAATAAAATGGTAAAATTTGGATTTTCTTCTTCTTCTTTTTTTTTTTTTTTCCAGAACCAGGTATTGAACTCAGGCCCTTGCACTTGCCAGGAAAGCACTTATTCCATTGAGCCATCTCCCCTGCCCCCAAATTTGGATTTTCTAACCAAAAATATTTGCGCCTTGGTTCTTTCATTTTTTTGTCCTTGAGGCAGGATCTCACTATGTAGTACAGCCAGGTATTGAACTCACTACGCAGTCCCGGCTGGCCTCAAACTCTTGTTGATCCTCCTGCCTCAGCCTCCCAGCACAGGCATGTACCTCGATGCCTTGCTGTGTCTTGGTTCTTAGAACTACAGAATGGTTTCTGACTCAGATGTTTATAAGTGGCTCTCATGTTGTATGCGTATACAAATACTGTTAAGTTATATTTTTTTCTTTTCTGATAATTATTTTTTCTTTTTCTTTTTTTTTCTGATAATTTTTGAGACATGTTTTCCATATAATAAAATTTACAATGTGCAATTTAGTGAAATAGTGAGGATACATATGGAGCAACTGGAACTCAATGCCAAAATGGATCATACATCCACCGTGACTCACCAGTTCTACTCCTGGGTATTTACCCCTGATGAGTAGAAATCTATTCACAGAACAACTTGTAGGGGCCCGAGAGATGGCTCAGTAGAATACACACTTGCCTGGACAGTGCAAGGGCCTGAGTTCAATCCCCAGTTCCACCAAAAAAGAAAGAAAGAAAGAAAGAAAGAAAGAAAGAAAGAAAGAAAGAAAGAAAGAAAGAAAGAAAGACAAACTTATATAGGAATGCAGGCCATGGGGCTGAGGAGATGGCTCAGTAGAATAAGTGCCTCCCTGGCAAGCGCAACGGGCAGAGTTCAATCCCCAGTTCTGCAAAAAAAAAAAAAAAAAGCCCAGGGATATAGCTCAGCGGCATAAACACCTACCTGTTAAGTGCACAGTTCAGATTCCATCCCCTGTACCA